TTTCATTCCTATCCTATTATATAAATTTGCCATCTTATTTCGCATCTAATTTCCCATCCTCTTAAATAAGTACCCACTCCCATCCTATTTTTTATGTTCAGACCCCAAGCGTCCAATTATTGTACTCTTAACGCTCAAGGAATTTTACAGTGTCTAGTTTGAGGAAACCTGAGGAATACAACGAGGATGAAGACGTTACTACATGGGATCGTCTCACTTAATAGTTATCTCTACTTTTGCCATTGCAATCGTTTGAAATCGTTTCTTTTTTTTACTCTAACATATACGAATAATTCCTTTATTCTTATTTGCTTACGTAACGTACGTTCAGCCGTAGCGGTCAGCCACCGCAGAGTCTACTACACAAGATGCCTCGTGTAGAGACGAAACACGTGTCGTATTGTCGTCGGTGGTGTGTCTTTCCTAGTGTAGTGGTGGTGGGAGCAGTGCTGCTGGGGTTAGTGGTGACGGGGATAGTGCACGGCATTGAGGGACGGCGGGAGGTGCTCTTTAAACCAGGTAAGACTCATCATTTTATTTTATTGAGCGAAGTATATTTTTCCAACTTTAATATAAAGGGTTTCCGCAAAGTAACGCCTGATTCTATTAATTATTAACGTATGTTGCTTTTAGTAATAATGTCCAGAAAAATAATTATTTAATCGGAAATGAAACCATTACTAAAGGCGGTAATAATCGATATATTTAATGATTGGACGCCGAGAACCTCTACCTGTTAAACCTTCGTGTTCAGTTGACATTACGACATCGAATTCGTGCACCCCTATTTAATTAAATAAAGATATTATTCTTTTTCTTATCGAATAGCACTAAGTCTCAAATAGATATCCTTCAATTCCTTTATAGCGAGCACTTATTTAGTGAGTTTTTTATAAATAAAATAAAGGTGACAAGCGGGCACACATTCCACCTGATGGTAAGTGGAAGCTATAATATGATGCACTGACATCTTCATCTATCCTCAATATAGAATCAAAATGCAGAATGCGTTGTCACTGATAGAATACCTCGTATCAAGGAAAAGAGCATCCGGTTATCTATAGTAACCATTCAAAACACAGCAGCATTAAGCTGCAACTTCACGCTGGTATTCTGTGGGATCGTAATTCTTCTCTTGTCGAACCGACCCATTCGCGCTACAACTATAATATTGATGCAGCGTGACTCTGCCACGTATATTATACCTTTTTATATTCCGAATGTAATATTTATATTTGCAAAACTTTGGATTTGAAATATATGGCATTTGGGGTGCTGACTATCTTCAGATCGACATACAACATAACTTTCTAAAACCATGCAAAGCCAACGCTCCCATTGAATTTGTTTGCCTTAATGTATGTTATTGTTTTTTTTTTTTTATTTTTAAGTAAAAGTTACATTGTTTAGTAAAGTTTACATTTTCAACTTGATCAACCATACAAAGCCAAAGCTCCCATTGAATTTGTTTACTCAATTGTTTGTTATTGAAGTACAAGTTGGTGTTGTAAGACTTACAATGTAAAATACATTTTTAATTGTTTTAATTTTTAACTTAAATAATTAATGATATATATATATATTAGCTAATAATTACGTAAGAATAGAAATAAGATTCTAATTTATTGTGAAAAACACTATTTCTATATGAATAAATATATATTTTTCTTATGAATAAATAGATTAGTTTTTTATCAAAAACTTTATTTATGCAAGTAATATTTATATTTGGCAAGAAAAAAATTTGTGGCTCTTTGAAAACTTTGAAATTTTGTAAATTGTAATTTTTTACTCTTCCGACTCAAAAGGTTGCCAACCCCTGACCTAGTAAGTAGTAGTAATCCGTGCTGGCAGAGTGACGATGCGGGTGCCGCTTTTCCCGTTGTTTTTTTTTTCTTTTTTTATAGCATAGGGCGACAATGGAGCACACAGTCCACCTCATCAGGTGGAGTGTGTGCTCGTCTGTGTACCATCGTAAGTGATTGCTGTGGCCCATAGACATCTACATCTATCCTCGATTACGAATCAAAATGCAGATGCGTTGTCATCCGTGAAGACTAAGATGGAATGCCTCTTTTTCAGTAAAAAGGGTCTCCGGTTCTCTACACTCACCATACAAAACACAGCAGCGTTAAGCTGCTATTTTACGCTGGTATTCTGTGAGGGCGTGATCCTTCCCCGGTCGAGCATACCCATTCGTGCTACAGCTATACTACTAATATAGCTGCAGAATGACTACCGCGTATAAAATTCTTCGTTGTCCTGTTAAATGATGACGTGAATGAATATAGTGGGTTTTAGCTGACAGGAGTCTGCTAAAAGTCTCTTTCTCGCTCCGTGGATGGCGGATATCTTTATGTTTAGATTCCTTATTTTAAAAGGACTAGAACTATAATAATGATCAACAATAAATAATGACGAACGAGCACGAAGCCCTGGAAAGGTACATAGTAAGTGGATGCTGTGACCCATAACTTTCTTTCATGTCATGGGTTCATGTCAGTCATTGGTTCGATTCCCGCATGGAGCAAACATTTGTGTGATCTACAGGTAGTTGCTCTGGGTCTGGATGTTAGTGCATGTAATATTCTATGTTTTTAAATGCACCCATGACCCCGAATATATATCCAGTATAGAGTAACGTTTAAGAAAATTACAGATTCTTCATAATATATAATATTCCTGGAGTAATAGGATGTGTTGATGGGGCCTATATTACAATGATGAGACCATCACAGAATGAAGAGCGTTATTACTGTCGAAAAGGAAATCATGCAAGAAATGTGCAGTTAGTAAGTATAAATACGGAAGTTGTGAAAGTAAAATATATGAAAATATAAGAATTTAAGTGTTTATTTTTTGACTTCTTACAAGCCAGTGCTTGACCACAATCCCACCTGGTGGTAAGTGGTGGTGCAGCCTTAGATGGTAAATCGCACTGTCTTATCGCATTTAAAGCCTATTCACTCTTGCCGTGAAGACGCTTAGAGTGTATTCGGACCGAAAGATAGACGCCGGTAAATTATTCCACTCATTTGCTGTACGCATTACAAAAGACGAAACAAACCGTTTGGTTCTAATGCGTGGAATATCGACAACAAAGGGACGAAGACCCGCCGAACGTCTGGTTGTCCGATGGTGGAAAGGAGAGGGAGGAATTAAGGCGTGTAATTCCTGCGCACACTCACCGAAATGCATCCTATGGAATACCGAGAGACTGGCTACTCTGCGCCTGTGCTCGAGGCTGACAAGATTGGTTTCAATCAAATCAAGGTCACCAATGAGCCTCTTAGCACGTCGCTCCACTGAGTCCAATGCTGCCAGGTGGCATTTTGCATCAACAGCCCATATGTGACAGCAGTACTCCATGCACGACCGGACTTGCGCTTTATATAAGGTAAGAATCTGCCCTGGCGTGAAGTACCGCCGCACCCTTGCAAGGACACCAAGTTTCCTTGCGGCTGCTTGGGCTCTGGACTCAATGAACCGCCCATAGTTTAGGTTCGGAGAAAATTCAATCCCTAACAACTGAAGGCGCTCAGTTTACTCCAAGGATACATTCCGGAAAGTAGGAGCCAAGGTGAGCGGGCTCCTTTTAGCGGTAAAAAGACACGCTTGTGTTTTGGTGGCGTTAAATCTCACGAGATTGGCATCGCCCCATTCGGAGACTGCCTGTAGTGTGAGACTCACACGCTCAACCATAGCCTCTCTTTCTGACTGGATTTGATCCCGACCGGCCCAGGCGCTTGGTTGGTATCTCTCCACAACTGTGCTGTCGTCTGCATACCCATAGACACCGGGAATGAGCAGATCATTATGTGCAGCAGGAAGAGAGTTGCGGAGAGAACAGACCCCTGAGTAACACCGGCGTTAGTCGCCACAGTATTGGATGAGCAGCCATCAACGACGACCCGGAGAGACCGGTCACGTGTTTTTAATATCACAATATTTTTCGTTTCATAGATCACTGACCCTGACTTAAACACATTACATGTTGACGCAACTTATGGAGGTGCTACACACGACAGTTTTATTTTTAATAATTGTGTGATTCAACGATATAGGTAATATAGGATAGGGTGACAAAACGAGCTCAGAGTCCACCTGATGGTAAGTGGTTGCTGTGACCCATAGACATCTACATTTATCCTCAATAAATAATCAAAATGCAGATGCGTCGTCATCCGCGAGGACTAAGATGGAATGCCTCTTTTCCAGTAAAATGGGTCTCCGGTTCTCTACACTCACCATACGAAATACAGCAATGTAAAGTACCATTTTACGTTGGTATTCTGTGAGAGCGTTGTCGCTCTCCGGTCGAGCCAGACAATCGTACTACAACTATACTACTAATATAGCTGCAGCATGGCTCTACCACGTAAAAAGCTAATAACTTCATCTAACCCTCATTGCGAATTAAAATGTAGATGAGTGTTCACTCCTGAGGACTAAAAAGGAGTCATTAATATAACCCTTACTACTAATACCCCATCGTAATGTAAAACTGTGTGTAGTGTATTGAAAAGGCTGTTAAAATATTTCAGGAACATAACATGAATACACATATCGGCTACGCGTAGGTAAGAGCTACTCTAAACCTCTCCCTAAAATGAAAGATGTCTTATTATAAGTGGTGGGGCGTGTGTTGTTTGTTATATTAGTTATTATTAAAAAAAAATCAGAAATGATTTATTTTAGGTAACCATTTAAATCATTTAGCCATTAATATCATGTAGGCTTTAAGATAGCACTACCTTCACATTAACTTTCAAAATTTGTATACTTTTTTTATAATATTTCATTAAAAAAAATGCTACCCCCACACTAAAACTTTCTCCTTTATCGTGCAACAATTATCTGTAGGCCAATCAAATACCTGAATCTATGTGACGAATGTGCAATGACGCCGTGCATTCAGCGTGTATAAACAAAAAAATGGTAACAGGACGCGTCGCTACGCCGCACGCTGAACGGGCTTTAAGCTAAATTTGAATACTCACTTTCCACAACCTTATTATCGGCTGCCGATCTGGACTTGTCCCGCAGAAGCGCCGCATACATGTATAGAAGAAAGACCATGCTGCCGATGTACAAGTAAAGGTAGAAACCCTGCCAACAAAAGTACAAAATAAGAACAGAAATAAAATATTGTGAAATTAGTCTTAGTTTTACTAAGACAGAATTTCACTTCAATAAATCTGTCCACTACCCTATATTATCCTATTATTATATTATGTAGGTGTTGTTAGAGGCGGCAGAGGTTTATTGAAACAGGATATGAATATCTTCTCAATAACAACTCAACGTAATAAGAAACCGATGTTGCGTGAACCAGTGGGTGGGCTGTAATGAATGAAAAATTCAATTGGTACAGACATAAAACTTATAATATTTCTATGCCCGAAAACTGAAACGCAGCTTAAATCTATTACGTGATAGAGCCACGCAGCAGCTTTAGTTGTAGCACGAATGGATCGACTCGACCGGGGAAGGACCACGCTCTCACGGAATACCAGCGTAAAATAGCAGCTTAACGCTGCTGTGTTTCGTATAGTGAGTGTAGAAAAGCGGTTACCCTTTTTACTGGAAACGAGGTATTCCATTTTAGTCCTCAGGGGTGACGACGCATCAGCATTTTGAATCTTAATCGAGGATAAATGTAGATGTCTATGGGCCACAGCATCCACTTACCGTCAGGTGGACGAAGTGCTCTTTTCTCACCCTTATTCTATATAAATTCTATTCATATTAATGTTCTACTAAATTTTGGCATCCCGCAAAACTGAAATATAGAAATATCATCCAAGTAGTTTGGTATCATCCAAGTAAATAATTAGGTCATGGTACATAATGGTACCATTTAGTTTATTTATAAAACTTTGCTGTCATTAGAATTTTACGATATTTAAATTGAAATATGTTTTAAGCAACCTCATCTGAAAACATTTAAATAATTTTGATTGATTTGCTTTAAAATTATATTCCACAATAATCTACTTACAATATTTTCATTTTGAATTTGATTTATATGATTTCTTCAATATCGTAGATGGAAAGTAATTTTCTATTAATATCAATTTGTTCGAAAATCGCTCCGTCAATCGTCCTAGAATGAAACGAGAATCTCACGGTCAGTGTCAGGTTCGTTTAGCCGAGTCCATAGAGCCAACACGGGCCACGGGCAGATCGGAGGGGAGTAGCCTACGCAGGCGTTCCCCTCTGTCAAAGTAGGTATAAGTCCACGCTGTCCTATGCGTACAAAACTAATTGCAACGCACTACTCACTAGACTAAATCTAGTTGCGCGGCTGAATCGACGTCCACGAGAATAGAAGAGAAGAGAAGAGATCTGCCACGGCAAAATTACAAAAAGATGGCGTTACCTTTCATATATAAGTAATTTTTAATCACATTATAAATTATAATTAAGAGCTCACTTACCTCGTAAAAAGAAGGAGGGATGTAAGTCGAAATCACTTCAGCCATGGGAAATGCAACCCCCATAACGACTAAAAGTTTTCCATATAACGCTGATAGAGTTGTAGCCAGCGCGTCACCCCTAGTAAAAAAAGGAACAACCACGTATAATATACTGAAAAAAGTAACTTGACTCTTGTCACGACACGACAATCGGACAGACAGAAACTAGGAATATAATTGGTATCTATCATATTTATTTTATATACATTTTTTGCCTGTTTGGTTTGCATGGGTGATACCAATCCAAGCAAAGAATGGTAAGTAATTTAATGAATCCTCCCGCACCATCGCATCGTGACAATGAGTGCTGCAAAATAATGTTCGAAACGTCAGGAATTAAAAAAAAGTAAAATTTAAAATTATTAAAATAAAGTTAAAACATAACGTGATTAAAATCCACATTAAATATTTAGTTAAAAAATGTAAAATTTTGCCATTTACATAATTTATATCGCTAAGCGTCGACCAAATACTATGTTACGAGTACACCAGAGTGAGTAACCCTTGACTTTTTTACTCATTGGTCTTACTCTCAGATAACTTCGTTTGAGTTTTTCCATCACAAACGTAAAGTAGCTATAATACTGGCTATTGTTACTCTAGAGTTGATGAATGAATGATGAATGAACATGTAAGTAAACATAGCGATTATATTCTCTTTGATGTAAGCCAACTAAAATCGAAGTACAACAAGCTAACAGCATAGCAAAGTGGCGAAGCAATCAGCTTTGTAGCGGTTTCTAACGGTTGCCGTTGAGCAATCAGTTTCAAAATAGGAGGTTCAGATGCCTGGGTGATCAGTAATCGATTGCTGAAAACAGAATTTGAAAATTCAAAACCATTCTCGAGTTAATCGTGGGACAGACGGACAGACGGACAGATGGACAGACGGACAGACGGACAGACGGACAGACGGACAGGCGGACAGACGGACAGACATCGTGAAATCAATAAGTGACTTCGCAAGCTTCGCCACTTAATAAGTGACTTCGCAAGCTTCACCACTTAATAATTGTTTATATTTCGTAGCGCGATGCATGATATTCTGTCCACATAATTGCCGGATTATAATAGTGTCAACTGTCACTTAAGATTGAAATTATCACATGATCTATCAGTTGAATAAGGTAACTTTTTTAAATGATTGTGTTGCATGTTGTAGTTATTGTAAATAAATAAAATTTCCATAGAAATAGTAAAAGCAGCCTAAAATACAAGAAATTAATTATAAACGCACAACTGTAAAATGCTTTTTTCAACAAATCATACGAAAACGGCAGTTAAATTGTAGCGGCCGCCATTAAAAATAATCTGGGGTAAATGGTTTACTCCATGATTTTTTTTATAGAATAAGGGTGACAAACGAGCACACAGTCCACCCCATCCAACCCATTCGTGCTACAACTATACTATTAATATAGCTGTAGCATGGCTAACCACGTAAATATGTTTTGGCGGTATAGCAATTTACTCTCGGATAGGCAGTTATTCCTGGATTAGGATTTGGAAAGTGCTCTAAATCTAGAGTAATTAGTGATTTTTGCAGAATAAGACTTATATGAGTTTGGTCGAATGCACCCTTATTAGAAGACATTATTACCCGCTCAATTTAAGAAGTCTGTACGACGTAAATATTGATCAAAGAAACAACAACTGTGAGTTTTCGAACTGAGTTTTCAATAGCGATGAAAAGTGATTGTTGCACTACACATAGGAATTGCAGTTACACGCTTTACTTCCTTCGCCCCCTTTTCATTATTGGTTGACAAGATGCACCGAGCTGTTCTATACGTCCCTTGTTAACGTTCCGTGCATCCGCACAAAGCGCTTTTTCTCTCTTTCTTGAAATGTTTTTTTGAATAATTTTTGTACACATTTTTATTTTTCAGCGACTCATTTTAATAAGAAGAGCCAAAACAGATACAAAGAAGTATTTTTACTAAACAAATTCTAAAGGATTTGGTTACTGTCCTTTTTTATACATAATGTATTGAAAATAACAAAAGTACTTTGATGCAGTTTCTATAAAATTTAAATTAGACATTTTTAAATACAAATTAATATTTTATCCATTGAAGTAGTAAGTTATATTAGCTCTTATTAATATATAATATGTTATAGCAATTTATAGGTGTGAACTTCAAAGTAAACTCGTCAAATCGTCAGTAGCCTAATGGCAGGGTGCGGTACGCGAACTCGAAAGGTCGTGAGTTCGAATCCGCCATTTGACTACTGTCGTGAACCACTTCTAACACAAGCATTTTAAGCTTGAAATTACCACCAGAAGTGGTTAAAGGGAATATTAGTAATGTTTAATAGCATTACTAGTATTTTTATTAAAAAAATTAAAAAAAACTTTAAGCCCTTGTTATAAGTTGTACCTGATGTATGTATACTGTTTTAAAAATAATTATTAATTAAAATTAAAATATATTGATAACATCGTAGTACATTGAAATCTTTAAGTACAGGTGACGTGGCTTCTTTTCCGCCTATGAGCGCGTCTGGATATGCTTTACAGTTTACACTCGCGGGAATCCCATAATTCAATTCAAAGGACGTGTCTTTGGCTTGAACCAGGGAGGCACCACGACCTCACAGAATACCAGCATTAAGTAGAAGCTTTGCTTCTGCATTTCGACTGGTAAGCGTAGGTGGCCGGTGGCTACCCCCCCCCCCCCCTCCCCCGCCCCGGCATGACATGGTAGCGGAATTAAATATGATGGAGAATGGAGAAACCCTCGCTGAGGATCCACAACTAACCTACTGCACTCCTCCTTAGCTTGGGTGCTCAAACTGCCCCGCATATATTTATAAATTCTGGGTGGCAAATTTCCGCTCGACACAAAAATTGCTCGGGGCAAGCTGAGCAACAAGACAAAGGCGACCCCTGCCACGCTAATCGTGAATTTTTTAAACACCAGGGGACTTCACTCGAACCTAAACGCCATCCACTACCATCTGGTGATGGACAAGCCGGCCTTGCTCTTCCTGATTTAGACGCAGGTGTCCTCTCCTCTACTTCGTATCTCTCCTACCCGAGGTACTAATTGGAACACTCCTTTGCGCCTCGGGCTGGAATTTGGAGTTTGGAGAACATCTGTTCTCAACGCCTCAGCAGTCTTGTAGGTTCGGATTTGTCCATCCTTTGACTACGCGTAGACAGCGAGAACCATCCGCGCGTCTACGGGTGCCTCTGTACGTCTCATAGCAATAATGCCGACACAGACTGACTCACCGACTACGTGCAATCGGCTACAGAGTCCTTGCTAAAGCAGATCCCCAAGCAGATTGTCATATAGTCTAACACGACTGGTTACTTCACCTACGCGGATTCCAGATGTGGAGAATCATGCACCTTCCCTGTTGGACCTTCTACTGACCTTTCATCCAGACGGATATCAGGTCTAAGTCGACACATCTATTGTCTCCTCGGACTATTGTCTATTCCGGACTGTGGTGCCACTCACGCTAACATCGCAGTTGCATTCTGCAGACTGCTGCCGTTTTTGGCACTATAGGTCGGCCGATTGAGATAGGATGCGGTGTTTTTTTGCATTCTATCCTTGGCGGGGGGGGGGGGGGCTTGCTTCTTGGCGGACGACTAAAGTTGTTGCTGATTCTGTTGCTGATGTGGTACTTCAAGGTATCTGTGGACCTTAAGCATTAGGTACGTGTCTATGGGCCACAGCATCCACTTATCATCAGATAGACTGTATACTCATTTGTTAAACTTAAAGTTACATTTTTTGTATATCAAGGATGAAAAATTATTATACATCTACGCTGAAATTAAAATAAACATGCAGATGTGAGACTAACATGGAACGCTCCGTTACTAATAAAAAAGGACTCCGTTTCTGGTTGCTCATTATACGAACTATAGCATTATGTTGCTATTTTGTTGGGTTTTGGTCATATTTACCTGTTTGAGCTCAATTTAAAGTCCGCGGGGATATAATCTCGCTCCGTTTACCATGAGGCTGTCCCTCGAGAACCTTTCTTTTCCATAGGTTGTCGGTTCTTCGAGCTATGGCTGGTCCATTACACATTGCTTACTGATAATTGGACATGTCGGTAACTCTGGTACTGATATGATCCTGTTACATAAATTAACTCAGAGCACAGTCCTTTCCATAGCTTGCAAAACGACTTTAAGCTTACTTGCGTCCAAAAGTAAAAGACCATGTCTTGGTTCCGTAGGTCATTACTGGCAACATGAACGAGTTGTACACTTGTTTTGAAATTTTGATGTTTATTGAACTACCCAGTGTAATTCAAATCCTCGGTGAACTAATTGGTAGAAATCGGACATTCCTGATGGGATAATTTCGATGTCCCTCGTGAAAAAGTCTCTGTGCGATATAAATTGCTTAGATGATAGCACTCATATTAAAATTTCAATAAAAACAAAGTAAATGACTTACTAAATACCCTTTCGCATGGTTTCCCATAAATGAAGAGAACAAAGATATTTATTATATTACATCTATAAACACCATATTTTCCTTCAATATTTATTTCAGACATGTTCTTCAATAATTGGGAGCGAAGTTTCCGAAAAACCCTCGTATAGGTGTAATATGAACACATCACCATACATTAATCGTTGGAAACCTAACCGTTGGCAGACTTTATGTAGTTAAACTGGGCATAGTGTTATATTTCAAATCAGCTAATGGTCTGTTTCCTATTGACTCTCGAAAACAGCATGAAGATGCTAACTGCAGAAGAGAAAATAGCTTTCGTTCTTCATAAAGGTCTTTTTTGAAAAACAAAATATTTTGCCTTACTTCTGTTCCACGCTTGTAACACTGCGCTACAAGCGCTATACAGAAGCCAAGTGCGAAAAGATAAAATAGATCCTTAAGGATATTACAGACAGTACTGATTTTCCACTCACTTGCAAAAGCCCTATTGTAATTCTACCCTCACCAGGTACCAGGCAGTTTTTAGGATTCTGAGGAGCCATTCTAATCCCACTCAGATTGACTTCCGGGAATTCATCAGGGCAATGTCGAATGAGGTTTAATGTCACTCGAAGTATCTTATCACTAGCAAAAGTTGAGCCGACTTACT